CACCTCCGGTCTCACCATTCGTTATTGCCAGGCGTACATTATTAGAGTGCACAGTAGTCAGATTGTTTATTATAGGCATGAATGCTAAATGTCAGATAACAAGGCAGTCCATGAGTAAGTGCCAGTGTGCTATAACAGCACCATGGAATCTACAGACACAAAATCTGCAACTGAGTATCTATTTCTCGTGGGTTCATTTAATGAAACTGTGGATATAAAAAATTGCTGCTTTTTTCCCTTCACTAGTTTGGTCAGAGAAGAACCCTGGTGGCAGAATGGGTTACCTGTTAGGCTGCTAACTGCAAGGTCAGAAGTTTGAAACCACTAGCTGCTCGGCAGGAGAAAAGATGAGGCTTTACATTCCCATAAAATGTTACAGTCTCAGAGACCCACAAGGGCAGTTCTACTCTGTCCTATACGTCACTATAAGTCAGAATTGACTAGGTTTCAGTGAGTTTGGTTTGGTTTGGAGTTTGATGGGAATTAATTACTCACTGATCTTTGAATCTACATTTTACTCCTGGAAAGGGATTACCTGAAATTGTTTCCCAGTCATTGTGAACTAAAAACATTTGCAAAGAAGCATGGACCCGGTACAAGGCACCCCCAATGTATGACATCCAACCTGGAGCAGTTGGGAAGGGTTGAGATTAAGACAGCAACATTTTGAAACTTCTCTCAGAGACGAGAATCCAGAAATAAAATGGTCTTCTCCTCCCCCGCACTTCCTAACTTCACACATCATTTCTCCCTCGCCTTTCATTCATTCGATGCAAGAATCCCTTGCCAGAATGCGGGAGGGATGCAGGAACATTCAACATGGACACTTATGTGTCAGACTGGAATCTCAATTGCTAGCTCAAGAGGGGAAGATCAAGTATTTGACCCAACAGCATGACTGTAAACACTGAGGCCCAGGCAGGGTGGGAAGTAATAAATACTCTAATAACCACTCACACTAGGTAGCCCTAACTCTCCAGTGCAACAACACCTTTAGGGAGTGTGCTACCACTACCAAAGTACCACCCCGGGCAGCTCTTGCAGACCAGGACCGGCCCCAAGAAGCTCTCACAAAAGCTTACTGACTTGAACCAATGAATTGGAATTATTTAGTATGCGTCTCTACATAGCTATTGCTTTTTAATGAGGACAGTATTACTCTTCCACGGATGGAAATGAAACCCAGAGAGACTAAAACTTCAAACCATTGAAAGAATATAGCTTTTGATGCTCCCCATTCAGAAAAGGGCTGTCTGTGACCCCAGCCCTACCAGCCTCTATGCCCCAGCCCGCTCTACTCCACTCAGACTGATATCCACAGACATGGCCACCTGTCCCAGGCATAAAGAATCCTCCCTCTGCCTGTGAAATTCCCATCCACCACGCACGGCCCTTGGACTGGTAGAAGCCAAATCTCTTCTGAATACTTTCGAATGCTAAACTACTTGCAATTTTGCACCACTCGACTGAGTACTTAACTGTAGGTGGCCTTCTCTTAGGGATTTCGCTCCTTTGAATGCAGGGACCAAATATGAAATCCCAGCATTCCCCCTTACCAGCTGAGCAGTCTTCAGCAGGACATTGCACTTCTCTGAGCCTCAGTCTCCTCTTCTGTAAAGTGGGAAGGCACCGTGTGGTGAATTACTTGTCATGATCCTTCTGGCTATAGTTGTTGTAACTTCCATCAAAGGACTATGAGTATACGTAGCACAATGCAAATGTGAGGTACTTGTGGCCCACCAAGGGGGTTGGATAGATTGCCACTAATGCAAATAAGGTACATGGCACCCTTGTAGAGTGAGACCATGCAAATAAAATATAGGGAAACCTAACAAGAATTGGTTAGCTCTGCTTTCCTGCTAGGCTTAAAATAAGCCATCCCAGAGGGGAAGGGGAGAGGAGGGTTTCACCATCAAGAAAGAAGAGCCAGGAGTGAAGAGAAGAGGTCCTTGTGCTGGACCTCTTCAATCCAGGAGACAGAGAGCTGTGACACTGGAGATGGCGAGAGATATCAAGCAGCAGCCGCCGCCACCGCAGTAGAGGCAGCAGAAGTAGTCAACTGGCAAGAGAAGGCATGTTGGACTTCCAGGCCCACAGAGAGAAAGCTGAATGCCTTTGGGTAGGAGTTCCTGGTGGAGCGGGGTGCTTCTGAGCGCTTAACTGCAGAGCTAAAAGAGTTTTCTAATACTTGCCCACTCCAGGCCGGGACCAGGCTGAGGGTTGGAGAGAACTGGGTCTACAGGTATGGTGGAGGAGAGGCTGTCCTGATTGAAAAACTGAGCCTTCCTGATCCTGTCTGTCCGTTATATGTGGTCATTGCAATGAATTATGGAACCCAGCAGAGGCAGAAAGTGTCATGTCCAAACTGGTGAAAAGATGGAAGGGTAAAGGCACACCTGACCTCAGTCTCGTAGGAATCAGTCTAGGGCTGGTGGCATGTCTCCTCCTCTCTACCTGTGGCCAGTAAAGGTCAGACACTGCTCCCACGCCTTTTTGACCAAAGAACAGTAAAACGTGCTGTGCAGGACAGCTTGGCTGAAGCAAGTAACGGCTGTGGAGTTGCTCTGTGCAAGCTAGTGCTGCAGCTCTTACTTTGTCGCTTCTATTTTATTTCTGTGTTCCCTACCCCAAATTAAAATAAATGAAACTCAACTGCTATCAAGCTGATTCCAACTCACAGTGGCCTTTTTTTCACATTCTAATTTCTAACTCTATTTTTTAAATTGAGTTCTAATTAATATATCATACAGTTCAATAGTTCAATCAGATCAAGAAGGGCTGTCACAATAAGCTTGGGAACTTTTTACCCCTTCTTTTCCACCTTGATGTTGATTTCCCATTTCCCCCTCCTTTTCCATCCGTGTGACCAGATAATCATTAATCCCATTACTACCTTCATATTTCCTCTAATCCCAGTTTCCCTGTGGAAGACTAGGACAGACACCAAGCAAGGAAGGATATATCAACAATGGCCATACAAAACTAATAGAGACCTCAGTGTAACAGAAAGCAGAGAATATTAAAAGTTTAGAATAGATTCACATCGGGATTTACGTGAAAATTCCCACTTTGTGTTTAAATGGATTTATCATATTAGTCACACCCACTGCTTTCTAATCGATTCTGATTCATAGCAACCCTATATAGGATTTCTGAGGCTGTAAATATTTACAGGAGCAGGCAGCATTATTTTTCTCCTACGGAGCAGCTGGTGGTTTTGAACTATCAACCTAAAAGGTATTAGTCCAGCACCTACCCAACAGCACCACAAGGGCTCCTTACATAATTAGTTATGAAGGTTCGACAAAATATTTGGTCATAAGCCTGAATAGACAACTTCTCAGTATACTCTGCCGTTTCAAAGATGTTGAACTTTCCATTATAAAGGAGGAAAAAGAGAAAAGAAAAGAAAAAAATCCCAAGTTTACTTGCTCCTTCCATTAACGAGCTGGAATTCAGCACCCAATGGAGCAGTGCGTTTGTAGAGTCCGACTGCAGTGCAAGAGCCCCTGAGCAAAGTGAGAAAGGCAAGGAGAGAAGAAAGGTCGGTGAGAATACAGGGGGGCTCTTAGTGGGAGCAAGGGGCCAGAGGCCTGAAAATTGGGGAGAGACCCTTCCAGGGCCTGGTGTCTGTCATCCTTTAGACAAAATCCTTCACTAGAAAAGGAAGTGAGGCTCCCACGTGCCAATTAACCAATAGGAGAAGACTCTATGTTCCGCGGGTCCCACCAAAACCTGAAGAATGAGCAGGAAACTTGTAAGCAAAACAAATTACACCCAAACTGAAAAAGCGAACCTATTCTTTCCAGTCAATTCCAACTATTTCATAGAGTTTCCAAGGTGACCCTCTTTACAGACCTGGACTGCTACCTCTCTCCTTCCTGGAGAGATGCTTCACCCTTTCGGTGAGCACCTGAACACTTTACCCCTGTGCCACCAAGCCTCTCTTTCAGCCTACACCAGTCAGGCGCATAAAGACATCAAAAAGCTCCGTGCTCATAAAAGATGTTTTACTCTTCCTTCTACCAACTAGAAAGCACGCAGTTTGAAAAGATACTACTCAACATTCTTTACTGATTACATAACATAAGCGCCTGCCTAGGTGATGGGGCAAGTTGCTTTTTGAGTAAGGGAATCTCACACTCAGGTCACCTAGGTGCTCCCTCACCTACACCTTGAGCTTTCCTTACCCAGGATTCTGTGTCCCCTTTTCCAGGTTCCCAGAGCACCATTTCAGAATTAATTCCACAATACCACCCAAAGATTTTAGTGTTGGCAAGTTTCATGGAGCAGGGAGCAATTGTCCATGTGTGGAGAACCACTGAGAATATAAAAACGTTAGCACCTGGAGGGACCTAGCATATTTCCCTCCCAACACCTCATATGACAAGACAGGGACACCTAAAACAGAAGGGGCAGTGACTGCACAAGGTCATCGGAGAGTCACAGGCTCCTATCATTAAATGACACCGGCTTCCTTCTAGCCTGGGACGCACTGCAGGCATGCTATCCCCTGCCTGAACAATCACCCCCGCTCTCTACCTCTTACAACCCAGCTGAGCGGCAGCTCAAACCTAGCAAGTCTTATTGCTGTGGCATCCTCGGGAGGGATGCCGAAACTGGAGCAGGGAAGCAAGGATGGAGAGAGGCGTGGGGGCGGGTGTGTCCTCGCGGTGACACCCCAGAGGAGCAGGGAGAACTGGGTCTTGGGGGCAGTGGCGTTGAGGCTGTGGGTTGGACCGGGTGCTCACAGTGGCACCTCCCAATGGGGGAGGCGGAGAGCAGACGAGCAATTGGCAGCAAGCAGCAGTGGGAGGGCTGGGCCTGACGAGGAGGGAAGCGCGGAGCATCCCGAGGCCGAGCTGGATCTCCAGAGCGCTGCCTGCAGCGTTCCCCGGCGCGAGGTCCGCCAGCCAGGATGCCCAGTCCGCTGTAAGGTGGCACCGGCGCCGGGCAAAGGCCGCGGGCCCAGCCACTCCCGCCCCAACGCGCGGCCTTACCGAGGCACTGCCCCACCGGGGTACTGAACGGGTTCCCCAGGAGGAACTCCATCGTGGGCAGACAGCCGGGAGCCACCCGAACCCTGTCTGCTGCCGAGGCCTCCGCTGTCCCCTAGGCGCGCTCCGACCTGACTGACACTTGCCCCCGCCCCACCCTCAGGAACGCCGAGCGCCCGGCCCTCGGGCCCGCCCCTTACCGCTTCCCTATTGGACAACGGCTGCTCAGGCCTCTTCCGATTGGGCGTACGTCCTCAGTGAAGCCCCACCTACCCCGCGGCGTGCGATTGGGACCGGGAGGGAGTAGTCACTGGAGTCCCCGTCAGGAGTTTCGTACATTTCCCCCTTTGCCCGCCTCCGAAAGCGGGCCTGTGCATTTTGATTTACCTATATGTTTGTCAATCTGGAGGATCCCTATTATTATTGGACAAGAAGCACGTCCATCATCCAAATAGGGGGCGGGGAGAGGCGGACTTGGGAAGATTCCCGCCCCTAGAAAGTGCTGATTGGAGAGATGTTTGTTTTCTCTGCAGCTGGTTGGTGTGAGGAATTTAGTCACGTGACCCATCAACTTTCACCTAGGATGTCTACTTTGTTACTTCCCCTTAGTGACGAAGTGGCTGTTCTTGGTCCCCCTAGCAACCAGGCGTTGCGGCTGCTGCGTGGAGTCAGCGTCCGAACCTGCGACTGGGAAGGTAAACCCTGGGAAACTGCAGCTCCGAGAGGTCTGGAAGGGACAAAACGGAGTCCCTGTTCTTACATGTCTTACTCTGCATGTGCAGACAGGTCGGGAAAGGAGGGACATTTTACAGTCAAGCTGCAAACTGCCTTAACATCCATGCCTAGCCTAGCATCAACTGCTCTATCCTGATACAATTGGACTGAGGCAGTCCTTCTAAATAGTGTAAACATTTGATCATTTCATTGAGGGATCTTAACAATTCTTATTACAACCCATGCATCAATTGTATCAGGCATATTTGTATATATGTTGCCATCATTCTTTTCTAGACAATTACTTTCTATTGAGCCCTTGGTATCAGCTGCCCCCCCATGACCCCTTGATAGATAATAAATTATTATTATTTTTATATCTCACAACAACCACTGTCTCGCTTCCCCGTGGTTTCCGTTGTTCTTCCCCCTGGAGGGGTGTGTGTGGTTGTGTATCGATCATTATGATCGGTTCTCCCTTCCACCCCCCACACACCCCCATTTCTCCCTACCCATCTGGCATCACTATTCCCACTCCTGCTTCTGGGTTGCATGTGTCGTGAGCTCTTATTTTGTGAATGTCCAAACACCAAACTCGATACCATTGATTGCGAGTCTATAGGACAAAGCAGAACTGTCCCCTTTGGGTTTCCAGGGCTGTAAACCTTTCCAGGAGGATACAGTCTCACTTTCATCCCAGGGATCAACGGATGGATTTGAACTGCTGACCTGAGGCTAGCAGCAGCTCAACATTTTACCCACTACACCATCGGGGCTCCCTTTTGTGAATGTAGTCAGGTCCTTGAAATGTAAAAGTGACCATTTGGTTAAGAGGATTGAAGGTTAAACCCGAAGCCTTTGAAATATAAATATTGCCCATCTGGCTAAGAGGTTGTGAGGAGCAAGGTAGAAGAATGAGATAGCGAGCTTTATTTCCACACGTGGAAGCTCTGCGTTCTGCACTACAATCAAGGCTTTCACATCCGCAACGAGCCTCTCAATTTAGTTACAACTTTTCCATTAAAACAACAGAAATATTAGGAAAAAAACTCCCAGTCAGTGAAAATTTAATTGTGATTAGGATAAGGAACAAAAACTTGATAATATATACCTTTCTTCGCTATGAAGGTATCTTTTTAAACATCATTGAGCATTATTAGTCCTATTTCCTAACCTCCTGCTGACTACACCATCTTCTCTGGGGGCAACTGTTAAACATTTTAACAAACACTATGCAATTATTTATCTAGGAATTCGCAATCCTAACTCTTCTTTGTTTTTTGAATAGTAACACTTTGACACACATGCTCCCTGTCCCCACCCCCAAAGATGCCTAGTGGTTTCTTTTCGAAAAGAAAAACTGAAAATCATAATTCAATTTAAAATGGAGTCTTTATTTAAGTCTAAAGTCACCCAGTGTGTGTGTGTGTGTGTGTGTGTGCACGTGCCTTACTTTTTAAAATGCTCACATCACATCAGCAACAACTCTGTCTCCAGGCAAGCTAGGTTGGGCAGTAAATTACAGCAAAGCACTCTGGCTTCAGCTCTGAGAGTTTTGAAAGAATGAGAGCTTTGTCTCGCTGTATCTGCACCTTTGCCTTGACCCAGACAGTTGTGAGAAATCAGTGTTACCTTGACAATGATAGACTACAAGGTCCTGGGTACAACTGAGTCATAATTAAGAAGATGGTCTCTGGCATCAGAGGGTCCCACCTGTGCCACATAGTCGGGGTGTCAGTGTGGATGTGTTACTTACCCTTTCTCACTAGGTCCAGCTCTCTTATCTGGAACCTGGGATTGATTAGTCTAAGATATAGTAAGTTCATAGAGATCTCTCATATGCACATCTCCTCACTGTCCTGGCCTCACTATCTTTGCTGGACAGATGAGGAAAGATCTCTTCCACCCCCATTTTCAAGTTCGGATCACTCTGAGGACTTTTCCTCAAGCCAACACTTATGGGCTCAATCATACCTCATATCGAGTAAATATTCTACCCTGTGGTATAATTACAACACCCTGCATCTTTTCTATTTCCTCACACCCTCCCTCCCCACTACAAGTGTGTTTTTCTCCCTGTAAGAAAAAAATGGGTTTTCACGAGGTGTCGAAGGGATCAGGTGTAAGGCATCATCAGAACAAAAAATCTTACCATAGTGAAT